AACACGCATTGGTCGGCCTGGAGCCTCGTGTAGCCAATCTTCTGGAGAGTGCCAGCGAGGTGATCATACCAGGCCCTGGGTGCATTCACTAGGCCATAGAATGCACGCCGAATGCGAAGTGCCTTCACTGGAGCTTCAGGAGCAGCTCCAAATAACACAGCAAGCTCTGATGGCGCCCATACCGTCAGGTTCTGGTCCTCCATGTCCTGGTCCGCCTGAAGGAAGGCAGACGTGACGTCGCCGCCTCGGATTCGGAAGCCCAGGTTGGCGCACATAGTGAGAACCATGTTTCTGGAAAGGCGGGCCATAGTCGGAGATGAGCTCTGCACATTGACCAAGTTTGGTGCTTGGTATCCAAGCACGACCAAGCGAGCTTTAGAGTCTCCATTGGGTTTCACCGTAAGAACCCACCGCATACTCATCACGGTCTTGGGGTTCAGGTTCTTCTCTTCTTGCAATGTCAGGCTGCGAAGAGCTTTGGACTGCAAGACGTTGCTAAGCTCTTTGGCCTGTGCTGCATCAAAGGAAACCTTCTCATCCATCGTGAGCTTGCTCCATTCTTTCTCTTTTCCTTTTTCCATCACTTTCTTTGACAACCACACCTCAGCGCTGTTGGGGTGATTGCTCAGCCATTGCACCTCCTTGGGGGTGATGTCAATCTCGATGGAAAAGGCGGTGTCTTCATCCACCGTGAGGTACATGTTCTGTTCGCTCCTCTTGTCAGGAGGCTTCTTTCCTTTCCTCTTGATCACCTTGGTCGGTGGAGGCTTCTTCTTCTCTGGAATCATCTCTTCGGAGGAATCACTTGAACTTGAGCTGGAACTGGAGGAGGAATCATCATCTTCATCCATTGTGATGCCATCCCTTGAGTTCCAATGAAAGCGCTTGCCATGCTGGTTGATGTGAGGTCCATCATGGCCACCAGGAAGTGAGCATTCACGCACTGAACAGTGATTGCCGATCACTGTCTGCCCTCCACGTTCTTGAGGAGTCATAGCTTCATCAAGCTGAGCATTTGGACGTGGAGTTGATGGCATTCCTGCCGGAGTTGGCGGGATAGCCAAACCTTCAGCTGCTGGCGCTTCAGGTACAGGAGTCTTCTTGGGCACCTGTTCGAGGGATGGATCATCTTTTCCTTCTTCTTTCTGTCTCTTGGTTCCCCTCGATGTTGGTGCGGATGCGCTGGCGGTTGAAATCTCCAGCCAAGTTTCTCCTGTCCATCGCTCTTGTAGATGTCGGTGAGGTTCATCAGACTCACGAAAATCGTCCTCGAGGGTGATCTTGTTCGACCCAGGGACTGCAGGCTGTACATATGTCTTCCTCACACCTGTCAAGCGGTCTTCAGGGACAGGGCTTGATGCAACTCTTGCCGGAGTGAACAAACCGAGTCGGGGAGCACGATGAACACGGATCAGCCATTTCTCATTTTCGACTCGCCAGTGGCCATTCTTGGGCATCTTCTCTTTGGGCTCGAGGGTCACGGTAGCACCGCTCACATCTTTCTCACGACTCTCTTCAGGCGGAGTCTCACCACAAATGTTGGTGAAGTGCTTGCCAGTGAAGTGTCGGAGAAGTGAGTCAAGCGTCACCGGCATTCGATAGACGGCCGTGCCCTCTAAGCTGGCTTGAAGTTCCTCTCGCCGAGTGACTGCTCGAACCTGATTCAACTTTGCCTTGACAATTGCTGAGCCAGTCGCGAGCCAAAGAGTACTTCCTTCTTGAAGGAGGACTCGAAGAGGTCCTACCCACCGGCCTTTGCCACCTTGTTGTCTCCAGACCATTGTCAGGGCCCCTGTCTTGTAGAGGTTTGGAGCTCGGCCTGTGGCATTCGAAAGGCGGCTCATTCTTGACTTGGCATACTCCATCTCATAGGCCACCTTGGCTTTTGCCTTCAGTTTGAGCATTCCATCAAAGGCCTCACGAGGTCGAAGTCCAACAGGTAAGGTTGGCTCCGGAGCATCTGAGCCACGGCACCATTGGAAGGGCGAGAATCCACTGGCTCCGATCGTTTGGTCGTGTCCATGGACACTGAGGTTCATCAGGTTCTCTGCATCCATCTCTGGGCACTCTTTTCGCATGCGACGGAAGGTCGACTTGAGGATGTTGATACATCCCTCCTCTGCACCCATTACCCAATGAGCTTCTGCGGGTGCAGTGAGCACTCCGATGCCAGATCGGGCCATGTAGTCCAACACCTCCGATGCAGTATAGTATGTTGCTGGATCTGAGATGAACCATCTTGGAGCAGGGTTCATGGACAACCATCTTCCGAAGGACTTGAGGACATCGGAAGACTTTGGTTCCCAATGCTGAACATCGGTGTCTCCAGCGTAGATCTTCAGTAGATCAGCTTGTGCCAGGCCTGATGCACGGTCTCGCCAAAGAATGAATTTGGCCTTCCAGATGAGGTCTTTCTCTTCATCGGGAATCTCGACCTCAAACACGTCTGTTCCAAGCTGCTCAAATAGGCCTGGAAAATCTTCAGTGCCTGAAGGAGGTGGCGGCTTGGGGCGTCGTGCTTCTTCACAGTCAGGACATCGAAGTTCTCCTGCTAAATCTATTGCCCATTGTGGCGCTTGCCTCATTCGGAGAAGCTTCTGCAAGTTGACCATCGATGAATGTCCTGAGGCACGGTGGATCCGCAGCATGGTCTGCTTCACCGTTTCCAGCTTCTTGCCTGTGGGCCTTTCTTGAGCATATCGTTGTCGCTGGAGTGCGAACAGTGAGGGATCTTCTTCTCGGAGCTGGTGAGGACATGTGTCAGCGATGTGTCCTTCATCAACCTCAAGCAGGTGCATCTGGACGTCGTTGGCCAGGGACATGTTGTGTTGATCTTCTGTTGAGGTCCATGATGAAATCACTGCCTGACAGATGGCCTTGACCATGGCCTCTGGGTAGTAGGCTGATGCCTGAGCTGCGGGGCCACGGCATTCAATATGATGTTGGTGACCAGGACATTTGCGCTGCAAGGACAGCCAGATCTGGCGATTGCTTGTCAGAACTGTCCAGCTCTTCAGGATGGGTTCTCCTTGAAATGCCAGTCCGTAGGCGCATCCATGAAAGCGACACCAGAACACTGGACGACCAAGCTGTCGCATCTTCCTGATCAGCTTCTGAATTGCTTTGCCGTTCCAACCCTTTGCAGCGCCTGTAGGCCATTCCCAAGCGAAGTCGTTGCCAGCATCAAGAGAAATGCATACGGCTTCACTGACATCTTCTGCCCTCTTCAAATCTCTGAATTGCCTCTGAGTGAAGAGAGCTTGTTCATGTTCTGTTCGATGAGTCAGGTTGACCAAGGGGCTGATGCGGGTGCACGGCAAACTGACCCAAGTCATCCGAGGAGGATGGAGAGTGATCTCCTGCCTCAGGAGCTGTGTGCCAGCTCGGGTCTCTAAGTCGTAGCCCTCTCGGTAGTTAATCCTCTTGATGCTGTAGCCCTTGTGTTCCATCATCGAACTCAGAGAGCTGTTGGGGGCACACGCAACCTCCATGAAGTCAACACCAAGCTGCATTTGTGTCATCAGGCTCTGAACGGGTGCGAGAACCATAGTTCCAACCAAGGCGGCTCCCAAAGCCATCTTCTTAAGGGTTCCGGCTGGAACTGCTTGGCTGTTGCTGTGTGCTTTGGCTGTAGTCTGTGTCCAGGCTCGTGGAAGAGCGTCAGGTGTAGTGGTCAAAATTGTGCCATGCGCATCACGAAGATATGGCGAAGAATTGCGATCTGAAAGATCTGTCGTGGTGTTCGTTGTGTTCGTAGTGCCTGTCGTGTGACCATGGCAGTCGGCTGCCGGGTCGCTGCTGGATCCAGATGGATCATGGGGATTGTGAGACATGATGTCTCCTGTGCCTTCGGAGGCACTGCCATTCTTCATCACCTTCAGTCGCCACCATAGCGAGTCCAGTGAACTTCTCAGGCTACCGGCTCCTTGGACTTGTCGTCCTTCATCGGCATCAACTCGTCTTCCGACGTGATGTCCACCACCGGGAGATACTCGCCATTCATTGTCGGCCCAGCTGATGGGGCTGCTGTCGATGGGCTTGATCGTGACAGGGCTGCCATCATCTCCTTCTTGGCCTTGTAGCCTGCCATCTGAGCGATCTCCTCCTTGAGCACCGATGGGGATCCCGGCACTGTCGTCGAAGGACTTGGCTCTCGAGGAGATGTCTTCTTGTCGCCCTTCGCCTCCGTCTCCCTTTTCGGAGACAC